TAGCTCGTAAAATTCTCTATCGAATGATATATAATAGTTGGGGTTTTGTTTGAGTATGATAGGAAAAGTTTTTTACGAAAGCGGGGATGGATCGATTTTAGCATAGGAAGCCATAGGAAAAAATGAGTATTTTTGCAATAACTCAGGAACGGCTCGGCCAATCACGCTCATCTTCGAACTCGACCGAGACATTGTTAAGACTGATCTGTGTAGAAAATTGCATCACGATTGAACTCTCCTTTCAAAATTTATCGTGTAAACGGCCGGACGGACACACTGACCGATTCTAGAGTGTACTCACTTTTTGAGTACACAAAAACAAGATTTGCTGACAATCAATTATCATTAGAAGAGAATTATCGTCTTTCAGAGAATTTAAACATTATATCTTTTGCCATCAGCACAGTGAAAGTAAAGAAGATATGTGAGTTTCACATTTCAGCCCCAAAGGGGCTGCGCTAACAAGGGTTTTTTTTATTAATGTCAAGCTTTCGGCAATGTTTTTCAGTCGTTTTATACATCGATCAATAGGTTTGTTTCAGCTCTGTAAGAAACAACAACCTGCCACTCTTAAAGATGTCTGACTACGAAGCTTCATCGTCCTTCATGTTGACTCAATTATTGAGGTAATGCAAAAAATTATATAGAATTTTTTTAAAGACTATTCGTGCATCGCTTCTTCGGTGAATGGTAAGTACCATAGATGCGTAGGGGCTATTCTGTTTTGCGCAAAATACTAAACATTAGAATTATTTATTAATTAGCAAAAAGTTATTTCTAATTATTTCAAAATGAAAGTTTTCAAAATTTGTTTTAAAACAAATAGCTGTTTTATTCAGATAAAACCCAATGATATATTTTAGTGTAAGTCTGTTTAAAAGAAAATTTGTTAAATTAATTTCAAATTTAAATCTTTTTAATTTATTCTGAAACAAATTATTTTTCACTTATGATAAATTGAAAAATTCATTTAAATGCAAGTATTGACTTTTTGTCTAAATAAATTATTTTTTGTGTAGATTAAATCGAAGGTTTTATTTAAATGTCGGTATTTATTTATTTTAAAGCAAATAATTTTACATACGTCAAACTAAACGATGTATTTAAACGTAAGTGTTTACTTAAAGAAAATTCGAATTTAAATCTTTTAAAATTATTTGAAAACAAATTATTTTTCATTTAGGACCAATTGAATAGTTGTTCCAAGTGGCAGCATTGACTATTTTTTCCCGGAATGATTTTTTCTATTTAAATGATATCGAACGCTATAATTAAAAGAAAGTTTTTTTTATTTTAAAAATAACTTTTTTTCTAATTATTTTTAAATAAAATTTTTTATTTAGGTCAAAGCAAACAATTTTTCTAGATGTATTTTTCAATTTAAATGTTTTTTTTAAAATTATTTTGCACGAAATAATTTTTTTATTTAAACAGAATCACAAAACGTGATCCTTCCGAAAATTCTTTTTAGATAAAGAAATATTTCGAGGGGTCAATTGTGTACAAGGGGGAAGAGGACGATGAAGTCTCTTCTTCAATGAACTAAGTATACGAAGCATGATAGTGGGCCACGTCGTATGCATCGATATACTGTGGTTTACGTTGCAAAACCTTTGCAAACACACTCCGTTAATGGACAGTATAACGCATCATATTCGATCAATATACGGTCCGTTTACGAAACGGATACAAAACGGTCCGTATTTCTGCGCCCGATAATACGAACCGAAAGCGTAATGTATTGATGTCGTATACTGCCGGAAATACCCCGCTTTACAGCATATACGGTCTATTTTCGGATCGTAAACGACATCGTTTTCATCGACTTGGGTTACATTAACAAGAAGAAAAAAATGCAATCTCAGTACAGCCTTCTGAACAACAAGTCGAGCGTGGCCCATTTAACATTGATAAGCAATATGGTCAAGATTTGTCCACTATAGAGAGCCAAAGATTGTTTAACAGTGGCTTTAAAAGATTTATTCTAATTCGATGTGGCATTCAATGTGAAACCATTGAATATATGGCTGCCCGAATAATGACCATTTGTGTCGGAACATCAATGATGACTAAAACGGATAGTGTTTATCACTGTATTTATCTGTTTGAAGATACATTATTAATGATCATTCTAACGGCAGCCGTTTTTTTGCCATGTCTGAGTTGTTTACGACTGTTGACGGGCCGTTCTATACGACATGCAATGATAGCAGGCTAATACAAAACAGAGATATTCATCACACTATCTCTATTGCTGTCTCCGTCTCGATAGACACATGGCCACTATGGGGTTTAGCAGTGATAAATATCTATATCTGCTGTGTAAGTAATTTTATTACAAATAAAAACATGAATACTTCTATCTGTAAACTTTAGAATTCGATTCTATATAAACTTATTTTCTAAAGGTCCCTCGAAATATTATAAACTCAGTTTAACACTTACCATTTTGTTAGATCGTCACAATTACTGCGTGATCTGGAAAATAACGGTTGATCAAAAATTTGATGTGTAACTCTTGAATAATTCAAATGTCCGTGGCAAACTTTTCTTTCACATCTACAAAAGAAATGAAAATTTGTTTGCTAACTGTTTTCAAAACAGTTATTTCTTCAATAGTTTTCATCACACACTTCATCATCGAATGTTTGCTTTTCTATATACAAATGGTTTGAATGCTGATATTATTTTTTTGTGTTTTTCTTAATGGCAGCTTTAAGTAAAGTGTTAAAAAGTGTAGCGTACGTGTGTCAATGAAGCCTGCAACAAATAAACAATGCATATTTTTTTTTGTGTCTTTACCTCTTTCTTTCTTTCTTTCTCTCTGGTAATTGTGCTTACCACTGTTGCCATCATGATTATTTTGTTGTCAAATGAAGACTTGGAAGTTTGATTATGCACATTTTATATAATATGTATGTCAATTTTTACTGCTACGGACATTTGTTTAATAAGTTTTTCTCTACTCTACAGATGAAGAACGAAACTTATTCCATTTTACAAAAGCTATTAATTGAAAGAATCATGGAAGTACCTTATCTTTAAGATCTAGATGGAAACCCACCATTTTGGAGTCCTGACTACCGGGGTTCAAGAAAAATACTCGTTCACTGAAGCAAAGAATGAAGAGTGCGTTTTGTTCTTTCATATAGGTGTACATGTTGTTGTGTCCTTCGATATTTCGCTTCTATTTCGAATACAAAAAAAAAACAATTTGCTCTTTGCGTTAACAATTGCAAAGTAACCTATTAAAATACAAAATAGAATTAAAGGCAGTAAAGAAACTACGCATTAAAATGATGAAAGATATGGCAACATAAATGTAATTCTGCATTATTCTTCCTTTCATTAGAATTCAGTAGGTTTCTATTCAAAATCTTTGCGCTCTATAGGGCCGTACTGTCTGAGACACTGTACATACTTTGTAAATGATAATTACAAGCCGAAGACTTTTAAGAAATATATCTTTTTAGGAGTTGCATTCGAAGCCTTAAACATAGTAAATATTCGACAATCTGTCCTAATGTTAAATTGACATTTCCCATGTGTTCGATTGCGGTCAAACTGCGACGCAGTTGCGGCGCAACTGCGTCGCAGTTTTCCATATCATGCATTACTAGTGATAAGTGTTCATTGGACCAAAATAGCTAACTACATGAATATCATTTGTTCTTGTTGTTTATTAAATGCTTCCAAATAAATACATGATATACAAAGTTTTCGAGAAAAACACTTTACATAAAACAATCAAAATAAAATCTAGACGATTTACACACATGTTCAAATCAAAAAATGTACATAGAAAAAAGAAATAGTTCACTGAAGTACATTTTCATTAAAGTTTAGAAATAAAAGAAATATAAACTAACTAAAGTATTCGACCACATATAAATGTAAACTAGCGTTTACTTGTTCTATTTGTGTATAAATAAAATTGTGAACGAAATGCAAATAAGGAATTAACCATTGTTATGTTGAGTAATCAATTCATTTCTCTTTCTTTTTCCATTGATAGTTCGACGTTTAGCCAATATAACATTATGAAGCCAAACCCACATCGTTTCAAGTTCTTCTTTCGTTAGTCGAAATTTATTTCGAACAGCTTCTGAAAAAACATTATTTATCAATTAGAGGTGTTACTTTATCTTCACTTTATAAAATAAATGTAAATACAATCTTTATGTTTATAAAATAAACATAAATAAGTTCTTGATATTCATGAAATAAAAATAAAAAATTCTTTATTTTTCAAAAAATCAATATAAATAAATAAGTAAATCTCTTTTATTTATAAAAAATAAATAAAATCTTTATATTGATGAAAAAAAGATAAATGATTTCTTTATTTTGAAAAACAAAGATAAAACAAAAAATAACGAAAGATTTTTTTCTATGTTAGTTAAGTAGACAATTATTTAGTATAACAACAGGATATGTTAATCGATATTCTTTGTTATCATTAACATCACTTCAAACATGTGATATAATTAAAAACTGAAGCTGATAAAATTTCATTTATCTTTATTTTTTTAATATAACTATTTGATTTATATTCATTTTGTAAATAATAAAGACTTTTTTAGTTAAGTTTATTTTTCAAATATAAAGAATATTATTATCTTTATTTTATAAAGATAAATATTTGATTTATGCATATTCTTTATTGTAAAGAAAAATAAAAGTAAAGTAACACTATTATTGTTAATGGAAAAATTAAAATTAAACGTGTACAAACCTTTTAACAAGATATATCTTTCATCTTTTGGAAAATCTTTTGTTTCCATAGAGCATATTTCTTCAGATTTATAAAGTAGGTCCATCAAAGATGTAACATAACGATTAGCATGTTCTTTAGTACCATTTTGTTGAATTAAATCAATAACAGTATCATCAGCAAATTTGTATTCCTAAATGAATATAATTTGAAATTGATCATTTTCTTTGTATCTATTATAGCAGAAACATCATACCAAAGAAGTTACAAAACTTGGATGGTCGATTGATTCTTCATTTTCATCTACATCTAGTAATGAAATGTTTACCTAAAACACAAAAGTATATATCAAGAACCTATTTATGTTTATTTTATAAACATTAAAAAAAGTAACACCCCTGATCAATGGACAAGTAATCAATTACCTTTTGTTTTCGTAAGATGTTTTGAATTTTCTTTTGATTAGCAAATAAACCTTTCGCCATTGATTCGATTCGTTCTTGTCCGACAAGAAGAGGTCTTAAATATTGAGACTCAAGTTTATTCATGCAAACCATTAGTTGTTGATTAGCAGAAGATGAGAATTTAGCTGATGTATTTTTGGATTTCTTATTATTTTTTATTACTGGACGACCAACAAACGTAGGTGTTTCATCTCTTGATAATTGGTTGGTATCAACGTGATGTCGACCATTAGCAGATGATTCGTCTTCATTGTCGTTGGGCTCACTGTCTGTATTGTCAAATGGTTCAAATGGTTCAAATGACGTGATTGATGTTTCATGTTGAGATTGTTTACGTCTTTTGTGCTTGGAACACTTATCATGTTTTTTATTCGATTTATGTACGATGTGAGGTGTTGATGTAGGATATTCACCTAATGTTGTTGTTGTCGGCGGCAGTACAGCTGGAAAATCATCATTATTGTTCACAACTAAATTAAAGCACACTTTATCTTTAAAAAAAATTCATGAGAGAAAAGCTTGCATAAATTCTTACTTGATGGTTGAACAGTATTAGCATGATCTACTTACGAGAAAAATAACATTTGTTTTATTTATCAATAACTATCGAATATACCTGAATGTTTAGCAGACACTGTTATCGTAGATGCTGTATGCCGTTGAATATTAGAATTTTGTTCTACAAAATATTCGGATATGAATACAAAAATATCTTTTATTTCAAGGAGCTTACCTTCAAATGCAATACCTTTTAAGGTAGATATTGCCGATGTACTTGCTGTGATACAAAAGTAGAGCGCAAGTGATTAATAAAATAATAATAATGGTTCTCCTACTATTATATTGTTTCAATTGATTTTCATCGATGTTTCGTTCATAGTCACTTTCAATTTCGGGATTGACAGTCTTTTTAGTTAATTGATCAGCAGCTTCGCTGCATTTCAGTAGAGATCCTAGAAAGACAAGTAAACCAATCGATATGTATATAAAAACAGATTATCTGTCTGCCATTTTAAACAACAGACGCAGATATACTGTTAGGAAAAAACGATGCGTATAATTTTTAAGGTATGTTTTCAATTTGAAAGTTGCTTAAGCGTAAAAATAAGACCTGTAACAATGATCTGATAGTAAGACCATTGATGATTGACTAGGCGAGTGTTAACAGTGATTACATAAAATGATTTTATTGTATCGTTTAAATCAGCAGCTTTTTAAAGAATTATCTCATTTTGAAACCTTGCTTACCTTCTTCAAGTATGACTCCCATGAATTTCTTTTTTCCACTTTGTACAAAAAAAAAACCATCATGCTCCGCTGGAGAACATTGTTTTGCTTTAACAACTGCAATTGAATTGTCTGATGGAAATAAAACAAGTTTGTACACTTCAGCTTCAACATTTGTTCGGCGATTTAAGTAATGTTTAGAATATGTATTTTCTGTACACATGACTATTTAATATAAATCTAGAATATATTAATTGAAAATGATGTATTTACAACTAAATAAGATATAACTAAGTATTATTAAAATCTAGCAAAGAACATCTTGTGACTTTTTCACGAAAATTTAAACCTGATATCGAGCGTTCAAGAGTTGTTAATTGTCATTATGTCAACATGTTCAAAGTAGTGTGATACATTTTGTACTTATAAGCTTAGAGAGAAGATTACATTTATAATTAAACATGAAAAGGTAACACAATTACAACATAACAAGAAAACAAATCATATAGTAATATTGTTAGATGACACTTTCTTGTCGTGTCGTAATTGTGTTATCTTTTCATGCGTAATTATGAATGTTATCTTTTTTTTTCTAAGTTTATATATGCAAAATTTATCGCGCTTTTCTTTGAACATTTCGGCATAATGATAATCGCCAATTGTTGAACGCTCGATATAAAAATTAAATTTTCGTAGGAAAATCAGAAAATGTTCTTTGTTGAAATTTTAGAACCCTTGATATCTTGATGATCTAAAACATACAAAATGTAATAAAAAAGAGAAAATATAATTTAAAAAAGTTATTGATTTTTTAGAAATTGATTATTAGTCGTGTTCGTAATCGATTCGTATTTCTGATAAACAACAAAAGCCGTCAAATGGAATATTCACACACTTATGTTTAATCTTTTCGACAGGAATAAGAAGAAATTCGTCGGATAGCTGCAATAATGGAAACAATTCATTTACTTTCGAGTGTAATGAAAGTGGAATCTCGACACAATCTGTCATAGATTTTTTACTTAACGTATACTTCTGCACAAGAGCAAAGAAATGCAAACCTCTCTTTACGAAAACAATAATGTTGCCATAGTGTACGACGTTGCGAACAGAATCAAAAAATGAAACAATATAACTTTGACATTTGAAGGGTTGATCATAAATAATTGTATGATATGTTACGAAGAAAGCTTTGAGCCGTAAGTAGAAACTACATGAGTGAAATTCTAATGAATGAATCACCATCTGTTCAATTAATACAGTCTGATACGGACCAAGGCGGCCATCTAGCCATTTGATTTCCTAAAATGTTGCTTACGAAAGTGAAAAATTTCGGAGAATCAGTATATTTACATTATTAATTGCCAGTGTTGGAGCCTTGACAAGTTCATTTTGCATCATCGTTTGAAGATCAATCCAGTATGAAATCTGTGCACCAAGATGTTTGCTGCCATGAGCTTTTCTCTCAATAAAACGAATACAAGATTCGAAGGCAAAAGCAGAGGTATGTCCAAGTCCACCATGACGTCTCACTTGTTGCGCAAGGTGAATATGAGCATGAAGTGAGAAGAGTTCCACCGATGGATCATGTACAAGAGGAGCAGTTTTACAATAATAATTCATAATTTGTTCGCCCAAATTAATTTCATCGATGGACTCAGGAGCATGAAGAATTTTCACCGCCATCGAATAGAGTAAGAAGTGAGATGCCAAAAGTCTTGGAAGATGCAATGTAACAATAGGTACTCCGACATTCAATACAAATAAACGACCGTTTTTTGCTTTCCAATGTCCGACATTTACCATTGAATCCAAAAAAGGTACGTTCAGATTGTGTGGTAAACGAAGCTGACTTAGTGAAGCATCAATTGAACGTATAGTTGATTCATCAATATTTTGGCACCAACGTTTGATAACAGATGGCAAATGACCCAGACATATAAGATGCATGTAATCAAATACAATTTGACGAGGATATTCGAAGACCTAAAGTAAAAGTAGAATAAGTGAAGGAAATTGAAACCAGTTCGGATTGACGAATAAAATTATTCTAGATAGGCAACACTACTTTCTCAAATGAAATTTATTTTCAACTTTCAATTTTTTTTTTCGCAATAAGAATTTGAGAAACGATTTCATGTCAACAATTTAAGGCTTTTTCAGCAACTCTTGTAATGATGAGGTTTAGATAAGCTCATGAATACTTGAGATTGTTAACTACAGCATATAATAGGAAAAAAAATTACATTATGAATTGCAAAAATGTCGTTTGATATCATATAACACTTTGGATACTAATGGCTCTATTGCAAGACGTTTTTTTAAAAGTTTTTCGTATTTTAAATACTTTGAAAAAACGAAAAGGTATCAAGATGTGGCTTTCGTTATGACATGGGCAACATTTAGAGAACTCACAGTACTTGCTCTGCAACGACACTGTGTTAGAACTCTAATGAGCTAAGAAATCAAATATAAATACATTGAAATCATGTGTGATCATTATCGTGAGTCCCTTAATATCACGGTGCAACTGTTCGAAGACCAACAGTCATGTTACGACACTTAGAAACATATAAATTGATGTAAAAATTTGTAACCCTAATGATACTTAAAGAAATATGTAAAAGACAAGACATCGACTCGTTTGTACTCCGTTTATTATCTTTTACCCATGAACTCATTACAAACAATGTTTTAATCTCATTTGAAGCGAAAACTAGGAACTGAATGAAAAGAATTTGAACATTCACTTCTTTCTACGATTTTCATTTTATTATGCATTTGTAATTGTGAAACTCAACTTAAATCATTGGTAACCTGAACCTTCAGATGATGTTGCATGTCATATTTATCTCAATATGATCCAACTTTCTTTTATGTTCAAAAATCTAAACAATGAATCAGAATTTTTCAGACCTGTAATAAAGTAGATAGGCCTTTGATGCCTTCAACTGTAACGACTTTGCCATTAGTTGACTTCTTTTGTGCTTCTCTTGCTGCATCGAGGTATGCACTATGAGTACGAAGTGTTAAATTGTTACGAATAAATGGATAAACGACAATATTGTGCTCAGCACTCCATTCACCTGTAACATAAATACAGAAGATTTTTTAGGTAAAAACAAGAATAAATTTATCTATAAAAAACATCAAAATTCAATGTTACGCAAGAAAAGTCAGCTATGATAGATATTATTGATTACTTCAAAGTCGAGTCACAATTTGGTACTACAAATTGAAAGAGACTTTTATATTAACATCAATCGATGAGAATATTTCATAATGAATGAAAGAATCATAGACATCGTTTTGATCATGTTAGAGACGTTTCATGAACTCACTTCATATTATCTATCAAAACAAAATTATAAAAGTAGTTAAAAAATACTAATAAACAAAGTAGTAATTCGAATGTTCAAGTTTATTGGATTATTTTTTTTTTGTTCTGTTACGTGTTTTTTTGTTTTATTAGTATTTTCTGCGACTATTTTTATAATTTTTTTGGCTAATGATATGAACAGAGTTCACAAAACGTCTCTAACATAATTAAAACGATGTGTATGATTCTATTGTTCATTATGATAGAGACCGGATAATCAATGAATGGACTAATAACCTAACTTCGCAAGATATTCGATCACCGTGGTCAGATCAATTATCTAATTTTCTAAAGTGTGCGAAAAATAGCTACTGTTCATTTAGAGATACCATATGAAACTAGAAGTTTGTTTTTTTCATGTCAAAAATTAATTTGGATGAAATAGGTAAAGACGTTAAGGTTTATTTGCTACATGTATTAATGTTTGTATTTACATACTCAAGGTTATCACAGGTTTCTATAAATTGCATTCGGATATCACATCTAAGATCATATTTCTTACCCAGGTCGAACATTACTGTGCCCGTAAACGGCCGTACACAGTCGTTTACGATGACGCGAACGGCCGTATCCGTCGAAATTACGACCGTATACGGGCCGTAAATAACCCGTTTGGTATGCGCCGTATTACGGTCGTGTGAGACCGTGTCGTATACGGCGACAAACCACAATCGTTTACATCAAAATCTTTGCCGTAACACGGCCGTATTTTGACGAAGACGACAGTTTACAAGGACGTAAACGATCGTAAATCAATGTAACCGACCGTTTTCGGTCACACATATGGA